GCATAAAAGAATTTTATTTCTTTTATTCTTTTATTTTCCCCCACTTTCTGGCTGTGAAACGTGGGTATGTTTGTTGCTACAAACCCTCCTCTGTACATGTATAATTATCCCTCAAGATCTCAATACAATCTCAAACTGATTTTCACAAACAATATCATTTCCGTAATACCTCTTTCACAGTGTACGAGTTTAAACCTGAAATCCGTCAACGCGAATTTTACCCGCATTGACCGGGTTGGGTCGGGTAGGGTACCCGTGGGTTCGGGTTTTGTTGCCATCCCTAGTTACAAGTGGGTTGGGACTTGGGACGACAATGCAATGGGGCGAGAGGAATAAATTGCAAGTTTAGTCACTGAATTATTAAAATATAAAATATAGGACCTTTGTCACTAAAAATATTTCATTCCATTCGTGGTTAATAGAATTAGTTTTGTACGTAATCCCAGTTTAGTCTTTGATTGTTCGTCTCTATCAGTTTTCGTATTTAACCGAAAAAGTCAAAAAATCAATATGTCATGTCATTAAAACTCGTCATGTCATATTGTCCCAACCCAACCTACCTCTTCTTTCTTGACCCATTTTCCACCCCACGCCCGTTTAAACCTCGTTCTAATTTGACCCTTTTTCTTCTTCGATAGGTTTTTCATTATGAGAAACGAGCTAAAACTAATATTATTTACACCTAAAATTTAATCTCATATCCCATTGATTAATTACAAGTGATTTAATAGATTTATAAGGTCACTTCAACATTAATCATTGAATGAGGTAGTTGGGACATATTGGGTTGGGTTTGTGGATCTGAGTGGTCAAACTCCCTCTCCTTTGCCTAGTGGCCGGCCAGTCTCTCTGGCTTCTATTGTCAGCGGCCTCCTCCCGCTTGGTAGGAAATATGGCTCTAAAAGTACAAAGACATGAAATTTGGCTAAGTATGGAGCCAAGAGGGTACCAAGCTGACAAGGTAGGCATGGTGCCAAACACATGAAATTTGGCTAAGTATGGGGCTAACAGGGCACCAAGCCAGCAAGGCAGGTTTGGTACCAAAACCAGAAATTTGGCTAACTATGAAGCCAATATGGTATAAAGCCGACAAGGTAGGGCTGGTGCTAAAAACATGAAAGCCGGCAAGGCAAACTTGGTACCACAACATGAGGTTTGGCTATGTATGGAGCCAACATGGTATCAAGCAGGCAAGGTAGGCCTGCAAAAACATGAAAGCCGGCAAGGCATACTTGGTACTAATACATGAAATTTTGCTAAGTATGGAACCAACAAGGTATCAATCATGCAAGGTATGTCTGGAGTCAAAACATGAAATTTGGCTAATTATAAAGCCAACAGGGTACCATGCTCATAGAGCAGGCCGGTATCAAGACATGAAATTTGGCTATGGAGCAAACAGGGCACCAAGCCGACCAAGGCAGGCTTGGTACCAAGACACCAAGGGGGTATCAAGCCGACAAGGCACGCTTGGTACCAACATATGAAATTTGGCTAAGTCTGGAGTCTTAATGGCTTGGTAGCAAGACAACAAGGTACTAAGCAAACAAGACAGGCTTGATAGTGAGATATGAAATATGGCTAAGTATGAATACCAAACACGGTACCAACTAGAGATTCGTACAGAAACTAAGTCTAGATACCAAGCTGGCAAAACAGGCTTGGTAGCCAAGCAAGAGGGTACCAAGTCGGCAAGACAACCTTGGTATCAAGTTACCAAATCTTCCAAAAACTAAGTATAGAGATCAAACTGGCAAGGTGTCAACTCGATAAGGAGGTGGCCACTCCACTAGGTACCAAGTCGTCATGGACAAGATGTAGAGCTCCTTAGGAATCTATATGGAGACTAAGTCCGAAGAAGGGCTTGGTGGGCCCCTAACGGGGTACCAAGCCGGCAGAGTGCAAGATACCAACTTGTTGAAATTCTAAAAATAAGTACATTAGTGGCTTGATAGCAGGGGGTATCAAGCCGGAGAGACAACAATAGGGGTGGGCAACGGGACGAGATTGGGTACCCGTCCCGTTTAAAACGAGTACCCAATCCCATTTAGAGAGCAAACTCCATCCCATATCACAAACTCGTACGAGTTAATGGGTACCCATTACCCGTACGGGACGAATAACGAGTACCCGCGAGTACCCATAGGTTGAGGCTTTATTCTTTCGTGTGTTGGAGAAAGGAATAGGAAAAGAGGAACAAATGGGATATCTCGTTTATAATTGGATTTGTAATTGACTGAGTTTTACTATGAGGATTTGTAATTGACTGGCATTTGTAATTGGCTGAGTTTTACTTCTCCTTTCCATGGCTGGCTTATAATTGGCTGAGTTTTACTATGAGGATTAGTTAATCAGTGTTTATGTTCCATGCGTTTCTGGTTGGAAGAGTGGTCTAAAAATGGAATAATGTCTTTGGGATAGCTCGTTTATGTAGAGTCGATGCTATGTCAGCAGAAAATTAGTTATGGGGCTGGACTATGCGGGTAGTATGGGTAGTATAGGTACCCGTAATACCCGGGTAACCCATGGGTACCCATTATAAAATTTCTTGATCCCAACTCATATTCCGTAAAAATAATTACGGGTATTTTGGTGTATTTGGGTACCAGTAACACTCAAAAAATGGAACGGGTATGGATATACCCAAATACCCATAGACAACTAGGTACCAAGTCGACAAGACATGCTTGATACCAAGATGACAAGTTGGTATCATGACGAACTCCCTAAGACGAAGTTTGGAGACTTGGTGGGAAAAGATGAGGATGTTACCAGGCTGACATGGAGGGGTCTCTCATATAATCAATGTGGTAGCAGTCTCAAGACAACAAGAGTAAGAGAAAGAGGATAGCAACAAAACTAAGTGTGAGTCTTGGGAGATGTCTTTGTAATCAAGACTTTGTCATGGAAACTAAGACAAATTAACAAAGAGCCTCAACCCCATCCAACCACGACAATGCGACAAGACTCAACACCAACCCAGGTTGGCGTCGAGGCCATCAAGTACCAACCAGTCAATAAGACGGGGCAAGGGACCCCCAAGGTGATGGGAGTCCACACCAAAGCGACGGTTACCCATTGGTTACCAAGGAGGCGACAATGGGTCCCTAAGGCAGTTGGATCAGACGACTAGTTAGCGGTAACCAAAATGAGGTAAGGAGTCCTCGAGGCGATTGGAGCAACTAGCTAGTTAGCAGTTACCAAGGCAGTTACACCTGGTGGCTATAAATAGGAGAAATGAAGATTGTAAAGGGTTCTACAACCAAACACTTGACACCAAATATCAAACTTTATCCTTTTTTCTGCAATGTAGCCATAGTGTAGCTTTTAGTTTTTGGAGCTCTCATTGAACCTCCATAGGAGTAGGTGTAATTAAGTAGCTTGCTTATTCCACAAAAACTATAAAAAACATCAAACACCCTCGTTCGAACATTGCTCGGAAAGATAATGATCTGTATTATTGTCGTTGTTCAAGAAGTCAAACATGTATTCATTAATTTCAAACACAAGAATTTTCTCACCAATGCAGTCAAAATCGCGCTTTAAAACTTAAAAACTTACGTTTTTACCTTTTTTGGGTCACCACAACGCTTGTACGTAGAATCATGATTTTCCCTTACAAATGTAGTCAAAATCTATGTTTTAAAACTTAAAAGCTAGCGATTTTACGCTTCTAGGTCACCCCACTGCTTCTAGGTAGAATCGCGCTTTTGACTGCATTGTTTCTCACGAAAAACAAATACAAAAATAATCAGATGAAAAAAGCTTGTGACATTCTCTGAGTAGAGATGAAATCCGCATTTTTAAGTATGTTGAAGTATGTCCATGGATGTTATCCTCCGATCTTCTCACCTTGCCTCTCTATGTTGAAACTCCAATGTACGGGCGGTTGTTATTTATCGCCATCACTCCACGACAATGCTATTTATTGACGGCCAAATCAATTGGCAACCCTTTTGAGAGGCAAAAACCAACTCAGAAACAGCTTTGGCTTATGATGTGAGTGAAAGCTAATGATAGCCATTGCATCTATGATTCCACATGCTATTGTCAAAAGGAAGAAAAGGTCATCACATGCTCGTCCATCTTAATTTGATTATATGAACATTAGATTAATCAAGGGATCGTTTGGAAGTTATGATTCTAGATGAATGATTCTCTTAATTCATGTATTCTGGAGAATCCATCGTTTTTTGTCCCAATACTTTATTCAATACATACATTTGAGGTGGACCTTCAAATCTCATATCACCCACAGTCACTCGTTTTAAATCTCAACAAAAAGGTGAGATTCTTCCTTTGAGATTGTGGACTTTAATTTGTTATACTTTTAGCTCATAAAGTGATTTTTCTTGTCTTCAAATTTTTTGAATTGTTACAAACAAATGAGACATTCTTCCAATCATCTAATTCTTACAATCTTTGAATTTACAATCCATTTATTCATCGAATACACATATTTGAAGAATCTCAATCTCCAAACGACCCCAAGTTAACCACCAGCCCTTTTTTATACCTAGGAGATCGGACCCGCCTGTCTTATTTCCCCTCATACGGGCCTCCTACGAACGGGCTTGGGATTTGGCGAGGCCCCTTTCCCTAACCTGAAGAAAGTAGCGAAACGTAAACCAATTGAGAAGGGCATCGGGTACGGATGCGAAAAAGGCCCATTGCAGGGAATGAGTCCACAATGGGCAGCACAGTTGCTCATAGCCCATCCTTCGCAGGCTTGCTCTCGCATATTCCTCCGCCGACGCCACCATGAACCTGGATCTCCTCACCCTCGTCATCTTTGTGGATACAAAAAGCGGGATCTGACATATAGCAACCGGACCAATGGTGATGGAACCAATGGATTAGACAAACTCTCAAGTGTTGTTTGAATGTTTGTACGACAACGAAAATTCATATAAGAGCGAGGTTCATATAGTCACTAATCATCAATTAATTTTCGCATCCATTATTGTAATCAGTGAAGTCAAATTTGGTACACCTTTTTTTTACCCCATCATATATAGTAGCAATCGATTAGGGTGCTGATCATCGTCACAAAGTTTATATGTGAGAATGTACATTGTACGCACATGATTGGGAGCTGTTGGATCGAGTGTTGAACACTTTGAGACAGTTGGATGGACCATAGTCTCAAAGATCTTAATGCTCGATCCACTGACGCCTATTTCTATAAACACATTCTCGTGATTTTGAGTTGTGACGGGAATAACAAAGTTCACGGTATAAGATAAATTTTTATTTATTAACATTGTATCCTTTACCTGACATTGGATATCAATCCCATGCTGTTTATATTCCAAACTCATGCACCTCGAGAGCATAGCCACATACCTACACAGAACCAAAATAAACTCTAAATCAATGATTACAAAATTATACCGAAAGCTGTAGGGGAAAAGTTACAGTAGTGCCGATATTTTGTGTTCAACTCTTAGTTCAGTTGTTTAATGCCAATAAAAACTGCCTATCAGTTTAAACCATAATAGGAAAAGTTTCAAATCGAACCATCAGTATGATACTGTTGGGGTTTAAGTCTATAAGACATACGATCTCATAAAACACTGCTGTAAACTCGTTAGACGACGTCGTGGGACAGTCCATAACTTTACTCTTAATGAATCAAAGAAAGAAACCCACGATTCATGCACGAAATCAGAACAGAAACATAACTTGAATTTTCTTACGCTTTAGTGGCGCCATAAACCATCATCAAAGGATACGAAGGCACGACGACGGACGAACCCGAACCAACGTTAACCACCGCGCCTCTCCCCTTCCGCAGCATCGCCGGAACCACCGCCTTAGCCACCCAAGTCGCGGCGTCCACGTTCACCCTCAACGACCACTCCACCAGCTCCGCGTCCATCTCGTGGAAGAACATCGGCAGAGGGAAGCCGACCCCAGCGTTGTTGACGAGAATTCCCACGTCCAGCCCTTCGATCCCATTTCGTATCGCGCCCAATATCTCTTCTCCTCTTGATCTCGCGAGATCCAACACGACCGTCCTGATCTCCACGTGTGGTGATCTAATCATTATCTCGTCCGTGGTGGCTCGGAGCTTGGACGGGCTGCGGCCCACGAGGACGAGATTGAGGCCCCTAGAGGCCAGCTCAAAGGCGAGAGCCTTCCCGATCCCGTCGGTTGGGCCGGTGAGTACGGCCCATGAGCCGTAATGTTCCTTAAGGTCCTTTGGCGGTCGGAGGAACGCGGCCCATATCCAGTCGAGGAAGGTGAGGGCGCGTCTGAGAAAGAGGAGGAAGCCTAGGAGTAGAGCTGTCAAAATGTAACCCGACCCGAGTAACCCGCCCGATCAACCCGACCCGCAACCCGCTCGCAACCCGATTTGACTAAAAGTCAATGACCCGTAACCTGCCCGACCCGCAACCCGATTGACCCGCAACCCGATCGACCCGCAACCCGATCGACTCACAACCCGATTAACCCGCAACCCGATTAACCCGCAACCCGACCAACCCGAACCTGTAACCCGACCAACCCGCAACTCGACTATAATAGAAGGAATTCGATGAAGATAAACCATAAGTTGACATTTGAAATTCTAGTTCACTAAAGTCTGATCATTACATCATCAATTATTGACTTAGTATAATAATATACATCATCAATCTATAATGAGTGCAATGGGTTAGGATATAAGGTATTAATGTTTTAGGCACGATTAGTCAAAAACTTAAAATAATAACTTATAACTAATAAGAATCAAGTTTTTTATTACACGTGTTCATGAATCAAACCATTAGAGGTTTAGGGTATATAGACTATAGAGTCGATGTATAGGGTATATGGTTAGTCTAATGGGTTAGGGTATAAGGTATTAATGGTTTAACAATTATTAGTCAAAATCATAACTAATAAGATCAACTTTTCTTATTAACACATGTTCATCAATCAGAATTTAAATTATTATGGGTTTAGGGTATAGGTTATAGAGTCGGCTTATAGAGAAAAACCTATAGATTCTTACTCTATGTTATCAAACAAAAAGACTATAGTTTCTGAGATTAACGCACAATAGCACTTTATATATAACACCCTTGATCAAATTAACGCACATAATGACACACATATCAAGCTTTAACGCAAATTGGGAAAACCCCAAATTGACCACCATCACCAACGGGGCCTCTTGCACTTCAATAGACGACTGCGGATCTTTGCTGCCTATGTGAGCCACCATGACCTTGGCCTCCATGTCTACCAAGTCTGGTAGCAAATGCGATCCAGCCCCACAATGTAAACATCATCACTGATACAGCAAGGCACGCAAAAGAATTCCTAGTCAAGAAAAGAAACAGGGGAGCAGCCTTTGTAAATACAGGGCATGCTACTTTCTTGTGGGTGGGAAATTTTGGGCGGGGGAAAATGTGTGGGGGGAAATTTTTCATTTTGGTGGGAATTTTTTTAAAGAGAATTGTTTCGTTTTTTATTTTGGGAGCCAAAATTTCTTTCTTTACACTGTGAAGTTTTTGTTTCACTCTTTCTGAAATCTTTGGAGCCAAACAAAATTTTTGGAGGCAATGAAAGTTTGGAGGGAAAAAACTTAAATCTCCCTCTTACAATTTGGAGCACAATTTTTTACGAAAGAAATTACCACAATTGTTCACCAAAATTATCGGTGATTAATCATTAATCACTTAAATCTCCCTCTTAACATATGTTCACTTGAAATCATTTGAAGTCTTTAACGGCAGGAGATCCATTTTTAATTTATGTTTATGGTACGTGGTTAGGATACAAGGTATGTAGTGTAAAGTATAGGATATATGGTTAGGGTATAACAATTAGCAAATATCACTTTTTATCTATGTTTTGAAAATCAAAGTATGAATTTCACTTTTAAATTAACTATACTAGCAAAATCACAACTCAAAGACATATAGTTAGGGTATAAGGTATAGGTTATGTGGTTAGTGTATATTGTATTGATGGTTTAGGGTATACAATCAACAACATATACTAACTTAATATTGTTGATTGAGGGTAAGGCTAAGTGTATAGGATATATGCTATTGAGTAAGTTATGATTGAAGTCACAATAATTTTACTAAATTTGATAGTTAATCTTTAATGGTTCAATTTTTAGGATAATTCGAACAATTTTACAAATAACTCGTTTGACAACAGTTTACAGAAGTTATTTGGGCAATGAGTTATTTTGAAATAACTCCTTTTATCACTATGCTTTTGCCAAATACCAGATTTGCATGGTTATACTAAACGAGATACTTTAATCCAATTACTACTGAATTAATACTAAACTATCAAATAAACAATTAATGGTGTCTTTTGGTTGCAAATATTGATATCACCATTACTATTAGCTATAATACTTTACCAATTATGATTAATTACATAACAAGTTTGCAACTCATACAAATTGATTTAACATTTTGACTAGTTTTTTTCAAAAAAATAAAGTATATATATACGAGGTAGAAATAAATTGGTTAAAAAGTTGAGAAAATATTTTAAATTAGTGTAATAAAATGTGTAAGTTGGTAATGAGTAATGAGTTAAGTTACTTGATGCGCTGACCCGAACAACCCGAAACCCGATCCGCCCGCAACCCGCCCGACCCAAAACCCGATGAACCCGCAATCCGATTTGCCCGCAACCCGATTGAACCCGAACCCGATGAACCCGCAATCCGACTAACCCGCAACCCGTTTGAACCCGAACCCGATGAACCCGAACCCGATGAACCCGAACCCGATGAACCCGCAACCCGACTAACCCGCAACCCGTTTGAACCCGAACTCGATTGAACCCAGCCCGAACCCGCCCGAACCCGCCCGATTGACACCTATACCTAGGAGGGTTAGTGAGGAGATGGTGAGGTCTTGCAGGTGATCGGCATGACGGCATCCATGGCTGGCTGCTGCCTTAGCTATAGCCTATAGACTATAGTTTGGTTTTCCTGAAGAAAAGAAAGGCAAACTTCGACGAGACCGTACGTACGTGGTGTAATAAATAGTTGAGAAAAAGGGTAGGCACGTACGACGTCGGACAGTTGGGTAAAGGTAGGTGAAACTTTTATGGGGAGAGCCAGAGGGGAGTTAATATGGCATAGGACAGTTGGCAGTTGAAGGATGTCAATTCTTCGGGCTGCCAGGAGCGAGGTATAGCTACTTACGAAATCAAATTCGTGGAGTCGAGCACCGTTTGGATTCGGATGGTTATTAGTAGACAAATCGAGTATATTTGAGCCGAGTTGTTCTTGGTTTGTTTATTAATTCAAACTTTAGCTAGCATGTTTGTCTCGAGTTAAGCTTATTAATGAGCTTACGGGCTACATTTGAGTTCAGCTCGCTGTTTGTTTTTAGATCGCAAGTTCAACTCCACCTCGATTCAACAAGGTTTCGCTCAAAATCAGCTCATTAGTAAACAAGTCAAGTTCTAAACGAGATTTTCTTGAACCGAACATCTAGCTGCCCATAAAAAACGCAACTCATTTGGAAACACAAAATGGTGATCAAGCCACTTGTCTAGTCTTAAAAATAGAGTTGGTCCATCTTTGGTAGGGTTATCTAATTTCTTTGAGCATACATTCATCACCACACCATGAGTTATGGACATAATCAATATGTTCTTGGTCAACCTTTTCCCTATTAAATTTAACGACCTAAATCTCTTTCATTTTAACTTGAAATTTTATTTTTGTTGCACTAAAAAGTTAGATTAATTATGCTTATCAAAATGATATCTAGTTTAATATATTTTGGAAAAAAAATATATTAAGGTATATATTACCACTCTACTATGCTGATGTTTAGAAGTGCATAAGATTATACCATGGTGATACGGAAGTGTACCATTATATAGAATTGATGTACACTCGATAGTAGAGTGGTAATATATACCTTAATATATTTTTTTTCAAAATATATTAAACTAGATATCATTTTGATAATACCATGGTGATACGGAAGTGTACCATTATATAGAATTGATGTACACTTGATAGTAGGAGCCAGGAAGATCACCGTATACCATCTTCCACAACCGTCTATTTCCTATTATACTAGGGTGATGTAATATGGTATATCCGATCCTGAATTTCTTTCTAAAAATATTAGAATTTTATAGATAACGATGAACCCGCTTTTTTCGTACGAAAAATTCCATAATTTCAATTAAAAACAAAATTGGTACGTAATGACAACAAGTGATAATGAATAATATGAAATGTTTTCCTTGAAATATATAAAATGGATATATAGTTTTGTAAATCACAAAAAACCGAGAATTTTTCTAAAAATTTGGTTTTCTATTATTCTCTCTCTTCCTAGGAAGAAAGAGATAACTAGAGATGTTTTCTTTATAATTAATAGTCTTTTGTTTAATTATATTGTTAAGTTTTCATCCAACAACTAGGGTGTGTCACTTGATGCATCCTCTTTTAATTCTCTTATCATTTTTAGGTAATTCATAAATTCTGAATTCCTATATTTATTTTAAAAAAATCAATTTTATTAAATATACTCAATAATATCCATTTTACAATATTTTGAAATGAAATTTTTTACCCTTCCAAACGCATGATCATGTTCTCATGCCATGTTAACTAACTAGGAAGTAGACACATTGGCTTCACTTTTGTTTCATATGCTTTTCATTTTAATTCCTTACGCTTTAGTTGCGCCATAAACCGGCCGTCAGCGAAGGGCTAGAAGAAGGCACGACCACCGACGGCACCTTTCCCCTTCCGCAACATGGCCGGAACCGCCGCCTCCACGTTCATCTAATGATGTCGATCGTCCATGGTGGCTTGGAGCTTGGAGCTTGGAGCCTTGGACGGGCAGCGGCCCACCAGGACGAGGTTGAGGCTCGCTAGAAGGCCAGGGCCTTGCGGATCCCGTCGGTTGGGCCAGTGATTACGGGCCCACGAGCCGTGATCTCGAATTCTTAAAACTTTTGTTCGATAGTAGAAAAACAGATAATTAACCATACGGCGAGCACCGAGCCCGGCGACCGATACTGCGAACCGCCGCCTCCGCGTAGGCATTTGGCGACGGTACAAAAAGCGACGGTTTCTGGATCATGGCTACTTTTCGCGTGGCAACATACAGCGGTACCTGACACTGAACGTCGATTCCCATTTGTTTGTACTCTACGTACAAGGATCTCGACAGCTGATCTACGTAGCTGCACCAATACCATGCAATAACTATTTCATATAAGAATTCCGAGCCACATAGCATATGATTCAGATTGATAAGTCGTCCAGTACATTTATTTATTTTTCATTACTAATAATTAATTAAATAATTAGTGGTCGATACTGATTTATTTTATTCTTGAGTTTTATAAGGGTGACATAACAAGAGATCTTAGGTTCAATATAATAGCGGTATTATCACTAGTGCAAATCCTAATTTGCTTTTGAGTTTTTCATTTACACTGCTTTTTTTTTATAAAAGAAATCTACACTCCCTGTTTATTAGCATATAGCTGTAGGTTATTTAAGCATAAAGAAATTATCAATTCAGTATAATAAGTAAAGGGGTTTTACACATTGTTAATATGGGAGGATTGACTTTTCTCGAATTAAATCATTTTGTCTATTTGTGTTTCTTTTTATCTCATCCCAATTTTTCTTCCTAAATCTCATCTCAATTTTTTTTCTAATCTTAAATTTTGTAATATATCAGATGATTTTGCATACTAATGACGCACCGTCACTCACCCAAGTTTCATGGGGGGTACAAAAAAGATGACCCACACGAACCACACTAACCCACCATTGCCACACAACCATGAAACGGGGTGGTTATTATTGGATGAATTCGGGTGGGTTTCAGAGTTGACCCACCCATTATCTATCCTTGCTTAAACTAGACACTTATTAGTGATCAGCGGACCAGCTTGGTAGAGGGTGGGTTGTGACTTGTGAGACCCACCTTGGCTCGGGATTAGGACAAAAAATCTACACAATAAATAAAAGCCAAATGAGAAAACTTGAAGCCCCATTTCAAATTTCCTGCATCCAGAGTGAAAGTAGGAAGGACATTTTGGTCTTCACAATTACTTTTTTTTATTCATTAAAAAGACACTTACTAGGATTCGAACCATGACCATTTTAAAGAAAAACAAAGATCATAACCAATCACACTAAGTACATTTGTTGTATCTTTTTAAATTAAAAACATATAATTGCAGAGAGGAAAAAACTCTTCCCCCATTTAAAATTCCCTGCTCTAGGAGCGTTTGTAGGAAGAGTAGAATATGGAGTGTCAATTTTTTTCTTTTTCCTCTGTGGAACGGGCCAACTTACCGTACACATGCGGATTTAAACGGGTCCAGGAGTGTCAATTTTTTTCTTTAAGTCCTTTTATTTCTCCATGGTGGTAAAATATATATATGAAAAGGCAAAACCAATACTCCTTTTTATTGCTAAAAAGAAAAAAATTAACAATAAACTAATGCATGGATTCTAATGGGCTAACCGCTAATCATAAAATAAAAGAGTTGAACGGGTCTGACCTACATGGGATTTGCCCATCAAATAAAACAAATGAACATCATGGGTTTGCCATTCTAAAACAAGCTATTTTCTCGAGCATAATATATACTATGCTATTATTGTATATCTTAGTGGCTAAAATATAATGTATTTTAAAGTTATTCAATGGTTCAACTTCGACCAACTCAATTAGTCCAATTTTTATCATTTCAAATATATATTATGTAATTATTTGATATCATAATGATTAAATTATAGTGTATATTATAGGGAATCGTTTGGTATTTGTTAGTAAAAAACTAAACAGAAAGATCTATTTGGTTATTTTTAACATTAAAACGATCCTAAACATTTTCAGTTTCCTTTCGAAATTCTATAGTTTTATTCCCGAATCAGTGATGTGCAAATGGTGAATTGCAGTCATCTCTTTTCTTTCATTATTTTTTATTTTCAAATATAAAGTTTAAAAGTAAAGAATAATTAGAGTTTGGCATGGGTCGGTCAAACAAGCTGAATTTCAAGTTTTGGCCCATTTTGATCAAGTCTAATTTATAATCACATGGTTCTCTGATACCCTATAAAAATCTCAATCCAAACCAGTTTGGCAGGTGAGTCCGTGTTTACCACCATTTTCTAGGGATACAGGAACGGTGGTTCCTATCCCAAATCGTGATGTTCATTCTTGATTTCTTTAGATTTTATCATGGCTTGGCAAAAAACCAGAAAGCACAATGATGAGAAGATGAAAGTTTTATAAAGCAAATTAATCGGCCAACGGGCCGAGTAAAAGCTAGCAACGATTGTGAGATGCTCATTTCCCAAAAATCGGCGGGATATGCGATTTTTTATTCGATTTTCTGGAATTCGGTTTCTATAAAACTTACTCCACCTCATCATATTACCAGAAACAATATTGTTTCACAAGGTAACATGTACTTGATTTTGGTTCATAAGACTAATTTTTTATTCGTTGCATCATTCATGTCTCTTTTCTACTAAAATTCACTATTTTTATCACGTGTTTCCCAAAAAAAAAAACTATACAACAATAAGCTATACACCCCATTACATTATCAAATTTCATACCTCATCTTCGTCCGGCCAAATGGCCGGGGCCCACACTAGTTAACAATAATTGTACACAATCCATAATACTTAAATCCAACACCTCTCGTTCACTAGTTTTACTTGTCTGTCAATAAATTGTATAGAGGTTTGTGACACACATTAACCATACATATTATGTAAATAAATCTAGGTTTTACATATATTTGTATCTCTAACAGTTTATTCCAAGTTTACGAATTTATAATTTAGTGTTGATTTCTCTATCCTCAAACGAGAATCAGTCGACAAACTGTGAATTTATCTATCGTCAAACAAAAAATCAGTCGACAAACTGTGAAACCATATCATGGATCATTTATATATTAATAAAATTTATTATATATATATTTTTATTTTTAGGTCGGATCCACTTTAAGTAAAATTCTGGCTAGCTACGTTATAGTGACCATTTGTATACTATGTGTCCAAATATAACCGCTCATCGTAATCTGCCTCCTAAGTCTCAATTGTAAAACAGGAAAAGTTAGGCGCCATGGAATTTATTTGCTAAATCAATAACTTACCTACGTACCTCTCATCAAATTTCAAATACATAATATAACGCAACCAAAACGATCGATAAGCATATTCCTTAAGAGGAAAACGACCTAGGCCTAATCAAAATGCGGGTCGTGGAAGATTCTTGAACTACACATGTACAGTTTGGCTGGCAGTTGGTCCCAAAAGTAGCTAGTTGTCATTATATGTGGGTTCAATTAATAACAGACCCCGCCTTGCATGTGGCTTAGTTGCATCTCTTAAATGCACGTATTTATATGATGGTACGTGCCTAGCTAGTAGCTACCAGCCTTCCACAGCATGCATACACACAATTGTTAGGAGAATCAAAAGCGGTAATTATCAAACCCTAATAATCATGCTTTAGCGACGACTTACGCTTTAGTGGCGGCATAAACGGCGGAGAGTGATTGTGCGTAGAGAAGGGAATGTGGAAGAAGAGGTTTGTTAATGCGGTGGGAAGTGGATCCAAGTGGGCTACTACGTAGTACTAGCAGTTGCCAACGGCTTTTGTATATACCCAATTTGATCCTACCATATTTAGTGTTTGATGGCAATTTCTGAATAGACTCGTGCTATGCGATCCGTTGGATATTATTCGACCTGCAATAGTATGAGGTGGGGTATCGGTATAATTTTAGATTTTTTCATCTTGTCTCGTTTCGTTCTCGACTATCATGATTTGCATCAATATATACTTATACATGTTTATTCATTTTTTTACCTTTCTAAAATTATATTTTCAAATGGAAGAAAATGTAAAACTCTACCTTTCAACTATTTAGATTCAATTGCTAGCTCCTTTTATATTTCTTATTCATTGATGAAATGTTCTCTTCGCCTACTTGTATAATACGTAAATATTTGTGCTTTTTTTTTTTCTTCAAATAACACATAGACTGTGAGCATTTGAACAAAAATTGGTATAACAATCAACTTGACATGCATTTTCTAAAATATTCTTGTGTCAATTTTACCTGTAGAAAAGGGTTGACATACTATGAGAGAGAGGATCTGGTGACTAAGGGGGGTGCTGAGTCACTTGACTAAGCCCCTCCCAACCCTTAAATCTGGACATAACAATCTGACGGTTAAAATATGTATTTTGTTTATAAGTTTTAATCAGTCAGTCAATAAATAAGTATTCAGAAAACAATGCCTCTTTCCTCTAAATTCTCGATCTCAATCACTCTAAAGGCCTAGGCCGGTTCTCGACGTACACGATGCTTGTACCGACAACGCATCAATTGGTATCAGAGCCTGATTCGATGGAACCGAGATTTACGCAGCTACCAGGGCAGACATCGCCAACCTTTGACCACCAAGGTTGGAAAAGGTCCTGCGAGCACCCATTGGCGCCATCACGTCCCGCCACAACAAGGTCGATACGCAGCCACCTTTTACCGAGGCCACGAGCGTCGTCGACAACGATGATGACAACACCAGGAGGCGAGGACGACTGCCCGACTCCAACCACGAGCAGTCTGACGAAGAGATTTATGTTCATGCCCTAAACGGCGTCTTGAATGGATTCAATTTGCTGGAGCTTCCAATTCAAGGATTCGGTGTGGTCCTTGGCATCCCGTGGCATAGAAGATTGGGTCCGGTGCTTGTTGATTGGGATCTCTCGACCATGAGGGTTTGGCATGAGGATTCTTGGGTCACGTTGTAAGTGATTATAGGGAAAATCGATGCTGATAGTCACGACGCCAAGGTTTGACCCAAGGAGGCGGCGATCAAATCCATCTCCCCAACTAACAACAAAGATGAGTTGTGAAAAATGGAACCCTAGAACCCTTGGGTGATTCTCATTCATACTTGGATTTAAATAGGCAAAGTATTGCACTAAAAGACAACATGTGCAAGCTTGCATTTGGAGAAAACAACAAAGATAAAACATAACAACATTGACAATAAAACTAAACTTGATGATGATGATTTCCTCTAAACCTTGTCGACCCACTTGACATTCATGGTCGTTGGTTTTAGTCTTGACGATCTTTCAGTATCTCCTGTTACCCCCCACCCCCGGCAAGCGGGTGAGCACAAAATGTGCACACCAAGCTTGGAGAGAGAGTACTATCTTAACTTTGGAATGTTGCTGCACTTTGGCTAGCGAACTTCCCTTCAATCTTCAACTGGTAAAGCTGCTGCTTCTTGCTAGCTGGCTTCTCATTCATCTTCTGAAAAGCTACTGCATCGGTGTCTAGCTAGCTGAAATCTTCTTCTTCCCAGGTGATACCACTTCATCTTTGGCTAGTTGGCATCCCTTCTTTTTCTTCTTCTTCAACTCCTTCAACCCTCAACTTCAGCTTGTAGCTTCAGTTTCTCCAATTTTGTTAGGATATGCTGCTGCTTTTTCTTGGTTGGCTAGCATTCCTTCAATTGAAAATGCCGCTGCATCTTGGCTAGCTGGATGAACTTTCACATCTTCATCTTTTCTGCTTCAGATGGATCTTGAAAGTGGTCTGACTTTGCTAGCTAGCATTCCATCCGAAATATGGGTCGGATATGCTGCTGCTGATTTTGCTAGCATTCCATATGGAAAAAAGAAACTGAACAGCAGGGGAGTGCTCTCTTTGCTACTTCCAACTGCTTCTTCATCTCCTACTGTCAAACTTGCATCTCTCCTTTTTTTTTTTTGTTCTGTAAACACAGAAATGGCAGCTGCCTGTGCTCTCGGCTGCTGCTTTTCCTCTTACTTCTCTTTTCTGAAACACTTCTTCTTCATCTCTTAATTCTTGTGAGATCTCACAATCAACAAGAAAAATGGCATACAAAACACCATCCATAAACATTCATGACTCTGATTTTCTATACATAACAAAATCTGGACAATCTGGCCATTCTGCTTAACTTCAATCACTTTCTTCTCATGAAAATTTTGCTCAACCAAAGTTTTCAAAACTTCCATTCCACACACAGTAATGCACAATTCAGCTCAATCTCTTGTTCAAGACCCACAACTTCATTCTTGGTAGCCTTATGCTGGCTATTCAATCGATTAGTTCCAACCTCAAGTTCATGGATCTCACCTTCAATTTGAAGAACCTTTTGACCGTTTACTCCAGGCTTGTGTTGAAGGTGTTGGTTCAGCAATTTCGTGGTTGGATTCTGCTTTTTGTCTCCCTCCAGGGGCTTCAGGAATTCAGCTTCCCGCTTCTCCTTTGCTGTCATCTTTGACTGGTCTGATCTTTCAGTCCCAGCGTTTTGTGGGCTTGACCAGGGTAGAAGGTGATATATTTTCTTCTTGGCTCTAGATGACTTCACAGCTGGAAGCTTCTCGGCGAACTTCTTCTCCGCTAGCGGGTTGTTTGGCGGGTTTAGAACAACCGAGCGCTGGCGGTGGTGAAATCTCCTCCACTTAGCCTCTTTTTGGCGGTGGTATGCGCGTCGGTGAAAAAGGAAACATAGATTTGGATCTCATCGTCGCCTCTGCACCCTTGGATTTTTTATCGCGGGTTTGGAGATCTATCATCAGCGAATCTGATTTTCTCTTTGCTTCGCTCCCTGTCTGCGGCTCCTTCGTCCAATGCCACCAGCGGCAGTGGATTCTCAACCACTGGGCTCTTCACGTGCTCTTGCCGGAGTAAGGGTCGCGCGATGGTCGATGGCGACGTTGCTGGTCTAGGTTACGCAACAGTGGCAGCTCTTCTGCCTTCTCTGTCTCGGATTCATAGCTCGGTGAAGGAATCACTAGCTGGATCCAGAGCAAGGAATTCTCGACCTTCTTGGTCGACGTCTTTTATGCGAATCTGGGGCGAGTGGATGGACAGTTGGGACTTGTGCTACTAAATCTGTCGATGCTCAAAGGCGATGATGTTGGGCGGCTAAAGGTATAAGGGATTTGTGGGTTTTGGTATTCTGGGTAGAAAAATGGGAAAGGGGGATGCGATGCGATAAGAAAGAGAGTGAGGGTCGGTAAAGGGAGATAAGAATGATGGAATTGATTCCGGTACAGGAAGAACGAAATGGATGAACCTGGGAAAATTTGGGTAAGATATGGGAAAGGAAGGTGTTGATTTGCGGCGGAAGATGGAAGGGATTTGGTTGTTTCTGGGTTTGAAGATTCGGGAGAGGGAAAGAATGGGTTTGGGAAAAATAAAATGGGATTTGGGTAGGCTGATGAAAGATGCGGGACAAAAGGAAAATGATCTCGTTTTTGTTTATGTTTTCAGTTTTCTTAAGAATAGACAAACCGTGAAGATGATGAACAACACAACTAGTGCTGGGATTTGGGGCAGAGTACCGCGCTCTTTCCTTCACTGATTCTGAAATCCAGTGGCTTCAATACCTTCTGCAAGATTTCCAGGTGCCTTCTTCACTTCCCGCTGCTCTTTATTGTGACAACCAAAGTGCCATTTACATTGCCAAGAACCCCACATTCCATGAACGAACAAAGCACATAGAGTTGGATTGCCACTTCGTCAGAGAAAAAATCCAGACCAACAACCTCAAACTTCTTCATATCTCCTCTTCTCATCAGTTGGCAGATCTATTCACCAAACCATTATCCCCAGCACCATTCACCATGTTGCTTTCCAAGCTTGGTGTGCGAAATCTCTGCCCACCAACTTGCGAGGAGGGGGGGGGGTAACAGATTGAAAATCAAATTTCAACGGTCATCTTCTCTGCGACGTCGTCCAACCCTCATCCTGGGACTCTGTGCTACGCTGCCGTTTCAAGTCTTACTCGATGTGCTGTCATTCCGTCTCAAACCAAAGGAGCCTGCTGCGATGTCGTTTGTTGTAATGGACTTGCGTCAATACGCAGTCGTTCTTACTCTGTTGGTTCATGTATTTTCTTTCGTTCCAAGTTAGAGATAGTTTCCATTCCAATATACAAAACAAATGTATGGTGTTTGTCATCTTCTTCTTTGTTTTGCCTATAAGAAGGCAGAGAAGCTAATGAGAAAAAAAAAGTGAGCTAGGTTTTATCTCTTCAATCTTTCTTTGTTAGTTTTAGGGTTAATATTTTAGTATGGTCTGAACTTTGACCAAAATAAACATCCTGACCAATCTTTTTGATCTATAACATCCTGACCCGAACTATACATCAAAATAAACAATTTGGCCAGATCCTACTTTTGACCGTTAACTTGGACGATCAAACGCGCTGACAACGTTTAACGGGCCATGTCACTGCCAACTCAGCAAATTTTAATTTTTTATTTAATTTACACCTATTTCCATGTTCTTTCCTTTATCATTTTGAAAAATAAAACAAATTTTCAAATCAAAATGATAATTTGTTTTATTTTTTGTCCCGAAATTGAAAAGGAAAGAAACGATCATTTTTAAATTAAAAAATTTGTTTTAAAAATGATAATAAAAAATTTTTGCCCCGAAATTGGAAATTTTTTTATTTTTTTTCCGTTCAAAATTATAAAGGAAAGAAAACGGAAATAGGTGTAAATTAAAAAAAAATTGAAATTTGCTGAGTTGGCAGTGACATGGCGCGTTGACCGTTAGTCAACGCGTTTGACCGTCCAAGTTAACGGTCAAAAGTCGGATCTGGCCAAATTATTTATTTTGATGTATAGTTCGGGCCAAAATATTATAGATAAAAAGATTGACCAGAATGTTTATTTTGATCAAAGTTCAGGCTATAAAAAATATTAACCCTTAGTTTTATCGAAAGAAATGCAATTGTTGTGTCCAAGCAAACACACGCATCAACGTCCCTCTACTAGCTAGCTCCTACAGGCTTCAAGTTGCATGAAAAAAGACAGCGGCGTGTACTTGAATGTTCCCGAAAGTAACATATATAAAACCGTGGTTTCTGTGTTCTGGCTTTGATTATCACTACAAGAACACGAGCACCCCATGAATTCATTCAAAAGGCTAGACCTTCGTGCTCAGTGTGACCACACCTTACCCTTTTCCAAGCCTTCACATGAACCCTAATTCCAATACTCTTTTGCTGGCAATCTGATCCCATGAACAAGACGACTGAATTAATGATCCGAAGGTTTAATTAGTATCGTTTCATGACACAACTCCCCAGGCTCTTCGTTACTGAACTAATTAAATTTGTACATGTTCTGGTTTAAGAAAGTTGACTATTATTATGTCTTGTCTGTCCCGCATCCATCCACCAATCAAACAATTCCAACACACATTTACTAATCAATCGATAAATTCAACTGACATCAAGTCTCGGAGCGACGATATCAAGTTCCCTTCGACAGATTCCGATGGAGAGGCGCCAGGCATCGAGGAGACATTCCGGGATGAGACGGGCCAAGTAGCACTGGACGGAGTGAGCCCAGTACGGTGAGCACCGAGCCTGCCGACCGATCCGACGAACCGCCGCCGCCGCGTAGGCATTTGGCGACGGTACTAATAGCGACGGTTTCTGGATCATGGCCACTTTTCGCGTCATTTCCGTGGCGACATACAGCGGCACCTGACACTGAACGTCGATGCCCATTTGTTTGTACTCTACGTGCAAGGATCTCGACAGCTGATCTACGTAGCTGCAGCATGCAGTAATTAATCGATATCAGAGAGCCAACAATCAAAAACCTTGAATTTATTGTAACATGATTTTTCTCATTTCACAAGTATTATTAAGTAAAATACAATAGACATTACATAATGGTTAAGTAATGTGTGTTTATTTTATTTAGAAAATTTTACGTAATGAACTGTCTTTCTACCTCTGTTTTCATAATCGGACCGGAGGCTGAACCGAAAAAGTTAGTGGTTTACGATTCAGTGGTTAACCGTTACAGAACCATTGGTTAACCGTTCATAGAACCGTTCATGATATATAACATACAAGACTTGTATATTACACTAATTTTATAATGAAGTTAATCATTGATCATAAATAATTTCAAATTCATATCATCACCAAAATGTCTAATAAATCATTCAAGCTGTCTCACAAAAGAAATTATAATTTTTTTAATTCAAGTTAAAAATTAGCCTGCCAGTCGATAAAGGACCACGTAAAGTTGACAACAAGGTTGGGAAATGAGAAGAGTAAGCATATATTAAATTAATATATATGGCTTGATGGTCTTAGTTAAGTACTTTTTAAAAAATGTGTGGTTAAAATAGTGAACCAGTGGACCAACTAAACCGTGGTGGTTGACCTGGTTTTATGTTGAACCGTGAAAAACCATTTGGTCCTTCAATAATCGTCCAAGCAATGAACCGGACCGCTTTTGCAACTGGTTTGACGGTTCTACTGGCCAGCCATTGATCTGGTTCGGTTCTTATAAAAATTTACGTAATGAAATATTAACTGCACGTTACGTAACATATTAAATCGAATCATTACGGAACGCTTACGTACTCTTCTAATTTAACTTTTACGTAAGGAAAAGCTATTGTTCGTCCCTAACGTTTACGTAATATATGTATATTTTACTTAACAGTTGTAAAGTTTCATCACGGGAAGCCTTACGTAATCGGACGGTCCTTTTTATGTAATGAATATTAATCAAATTAAAGTTACGTGAAGTGCCAAGTCATTATGTTATAGACGATCCTTCTACGTAATGAATATTAACATTGCATTACGTAAAATGTTAAGTCATTATGGAAACCTTCTGTAACGCTTTTGGTTTAACTATTACGTAAGACTAACAAGTCTTACGTACGTAATTGTTACACAATAAACATAAGAATTACGTAACTCGATCTGTTAAACTTACTGGGTCAAAAAGTTCAAGTTATAACAACATCGATATATGGTAGGACGTAGGAGGTCATTGTATTGCTATGTGCCCGTATTAAATAGCCCTAATCAAAATGCCGGTGGTGGAAAAGATTATTGAACTACGTACACATGTGCAGTTTGGGTGGCTTAGCTGTTGGTCCCAAAAAGTATGTGGTCGCAATTAATAACGGACCGCTCACTATCATCTACGAGCCCCGCCTTTCATGTGGCTGAGTTGCATATTTTTAAATGCATGTATTTATTTATATGATGGTACGTGTCTAGCTAGCTACCACGGCATGCATACACACAATTATTATTAAGAGAATCAAAAGGGGTAATTATCAAACCCTTGCAATTATATATATGCATTAGCTATAACGACTTACGCTTTAGTGGCGGCATAAACGGCGTAGAGAGGATGGGAAGGCAGGACCGTGCCGGCGCCGGAGCCGACATTGACGACGGCTCCCTTCCGTCTCTCAACCATTCCGCCCAACACCGCCCTCGTCACCATCGTCATCCCCTCCAAGTTCACCCTCACGATCTCCATCCACACCTTCTCCTCCACCTCATGGAAGTACCTGCGCACAACAATTAATTGATTCTCAACATGTGGGGTACTCAATCCGATACCACCTAGTCAAAAGTGGCAAAATTCAGTATTAGCGTATAGGGATGGCAATTTCGACCTGACTCGTTTTATCCGATCTGTTTGGCTTGTTTCCTTAGATGCCTCTTATCGACCCGATCTGCCCTGACCCGCCCCATTCTCGATATGTTCTTGCCTAAATCACATGTAATCTTAATAAAATTACTTAGGATTTTCCTTATATTATCTCGTATTTTAGCTATAGTGAAGTTATAAAAAGTGAAAAACTCAATTTCTCTAATAATTTAACTATATTTTATTATATTATGGTTTGTTTCTTGGTGAAAACAACAAATATTTCTAATATATTCCATATAAATTACATACTCATTGGGTCGACCTGCCCCTATCCGCGCCCCATGATAAATTACCCGACCTGCCCCAGGCCTGCCCCTTTGCCATTCCTATTGGCTGGCGTATAAGGGCTCAATCTATTAGTAATACCACTAGTCTTGAACTTGGAAATCGCATATGTTCGAATCGCTTAAGTAGCTAGCATTACCTAACAAAAAAAAAAAGAAAAGAACCTATGCACCCTTATATTCAATATTGGTTGGTGAGAATTTTACCCACTTTTGAATTTGACGGATTAGGTCGGATTTGAGTTCTAATTAACTCCAATGGAAGAAAAAAAAGATAGGAGTATTTTACAGAAAATTTGGTAAAAAATACGATCCACCGCAATCCATTGTCATCCCTACCTGGCTCCAGGGTACGTGATCCCGACGTTGTTCACCAACACGCCGATCTCCAGCCCCCGAACTCCATCCTTCACCACTCTCTCAACGTCCTGCTGTTCATCGGTCGCGAAATCCACCACCAACGTCTTGATCTCCACGTCGTTGGAAGCCACCTCGGACGAAATTCGGGCCGAGGCCCCCTTCAACTTGGTGGGGTTCCTCCCGACGAGGACGAGGTTGAGGCCCTGTCGGGCCAGCTGGACGGCGAAGGCCAGGCCGATGCCGTCCGTCGGGCCGGTGACGAGGGCCCATGGGCCGTACCTGGTTTTGAGGTCCGCCGGTTTGGTGGCTAGAAATGTGGTGGCGAAGAGGTAAGTGAAGAGAGGGATTATGAGGTGGCGGAGGAGGGAGAGTAAGCCCAGGGAAGTTAGGAAGACAAGGCAGAAGAAGTTCATTTTTTGAGTTTAAGAGTGATGGAGGGAATGTGGAAGTATGGAAGAAGTAGAAGGTTTGTAATTGTATTGTAGGGGATGGATTGTTGTTAATGGTGATGGGTACTGGTAGCTGGCTTATTATATATGGTGGGAATTAAGTGGATCATCCAAGTGTATATATATATATATATAGTAGTTGCCAACGGTTTTTTTATACCAATTTTGATCCTACCATATATAGTGATTAGTGAGTGAGCCCAATGCAGTCAAAAGCGCGATTCTACCTAGAAGCGGAAAAAGGGTAAAATCGTAAAGCATAGAATCAAAGCGTAAAAGCGTAAGTTTTTGACGCATACTGAAAAATAACTAAAAATCTATTAAGTAGGACAATGCTATGCAAATATGAATGCACAGAATTTAGATAAGTTAATAAATACATGTGATTCATGTTTAAAGTAGAGCAACTTATAGCATCTTAATAATAAGTTCGTAAACATAAATTTTAACGATAAGCCACTTTTCGCTCTATGCTAATGAATTTGGGAAAACCCTAGCTGGTGAATTAGATTACTCTATTGAAGTAGAATGCATCCAAGTACCTAGTATGAATCTTTTAATCTCAAATGTATCATATTGTTAGTGATTTACTTTAAAAATATACTTTTTATAATTAGTTTCATGAAAAGAATACTCATTTAGTGAACTAAAAGCGTAAAAACGTAAAGCGTTTTGGTGAACTAGAACCGTAAAACCATAAGTTTTTAAGCTTTAAAGCGCAATTTAGTCCGATTTTATACACTTAAGTTTTTATATAGAAACGAAAGCGTTTTGGTGACCCAAAAGCGTAAAATCGTAAATTTTTAAGTTTTAAAGCGCGATTTTGACTGCATTGAGTGAGCCTAGCTATATGAAGGTACGTACAGTTTACAGTTATATAGTCGCCAACGGTTTCAAATAACATATAAGAATTGCCACACATGTTACCACACGAAGGTGCGTACAGTCGGCCTCGCCCCATTGTCATCGCTAAGCCTAGCTATATGAAGATCAAGTGATGTCTCGATTTAATATACACTTTGAGGAATTGAAAGTGTACTAGAGTTTAGGAAGATACAAAATTCACAAATTGCACACTCTTTCTTTTAAGGTATATATATATTTTTTGGTACGGCTAACATTGCTAGATGTCATATGAAATTTGAAATGAACTAGTATCTTAATTTTAAATGTCTAGCAAGAACACTACTGTATGTGGAACGAGAAAGTTAACAAGATATGTTAATAAGTAATTAAGCAACCAGCTGGCCATATATATTGTCCACAACCCATTTGTGAGAACGTTTTCATAAGTGATTTGAACCGTCCAATCGCGCTCCACAGTCATTGCGCGCTTGTGAGCACTTTCTCACATTTGAACAAATAATAAGAATCAACTTGCTATATATATGCATTTTCTAATAAATTATTGGGTCATATTTACCTGCAGAAATTAAAGGGTTGACATGAAATATTATGATGTGATGGCAGTAAATGTGCCGCCACTCCGATCCATCCACCCATCTCTGCTTCTGCTGCATGCCCTGGCTATTTGTTACAAAAGGGCAACAGGTCTGAATGAGAAAGTGTCAGCTCTGTTTGTTTGTGGTGATTATTTATCTACTCACTGTTTTGGTAATTCCCCCGTTGTCTGTTCTTCTGCCATAGCTATCTTCATTAATTTGTGAATAACTGCTGCAACCAACTCTTGGGTTCACCCAACTATCTCCATTCATTTAATGTTGAGCTGGAATTTCAACTGCAACTTTGTCACTTTTGCAGAGATGGGTTTTGCCCCTTTTGAGCTCTTTAATAAGCTGTCGCAATGTGGATAATAATGGCTCGCACCAGGGTTGGCCTGCGATCATTGTTTGCCTGTCAATTATCACTGGAATCAATACGCGTGCAGGGAGTATTTGGTTATAGGGCAGAAACTGGTAATGGTCATGCAAGCTAACTGAAGTTGGATTCAAACTTTACATTCGAACTTTGCAATTAATAGCTAATCGATAACAATAAAATGAAGGAATAGAATAATTACAGATTTGGGTTTAGGTAATCTTTGGTGTTTTGTGAACAACACACCAAATTGCAAAACAAAAATCTTAGATAATCACAAAATTAAACTACCCCAAAAGGTCAATGGCCTACCCCATTAGGTAACCTAAACCAAAAAGAATGACAAATAGGTTAATTGGTTGAACGCGATTAACCACAACATAACCAAAAATCATAATATTCGGTTCTCAAGTAACCGCAACAAGAGCAATTACAATTGCTAAAATGACAATAATTCGATTTTGGATAACCAACCAATTCGGTTTGATTAACATAAACTAATTAAATCGAGGTTCAGCCCTATTTGGTTAATGTATATACATGTTTAGTAGCAATCCAATTCGACCCGCGCATCACCCGAAACACATGGATTTATGTGTCTTATAATTTGATTTGGGTCGTTCATCACTTGACCTGAGGCATATGAGTTGCATGGTTGAAAGGGTTCAAAACCAACTCACCCCGATTCACTTAGACCCCTAATCATAGTTCATTTTATTGGTCTCATTTTATTTTTGTTTCTATTTGGTTATACAAAGCAATCTCCCACCCTAATCATACATATAATTATAGCTTTGATCAAATAATAAAGATTTTTTATTTTAATATATTTGAGTGTATGTGAGGGATGGGAGTAAGATGACAAACTCTTTCATCTTCACCAAAGTTCAGTTAATTCTTTTCATTTAACATTAAACTACATTTTCATCAAACCTAAAGAACTTGAATCTCTCATATTTCTGTGGTATCATGTTAGTGATTTTCAACGGCTAAACCCAACAACACAAAGAGCATTCTTTCAAGTAGTTGACACATGACCTAATGTGTAATAAAAAGAAAATGAATTCATCATCAATGTCTACTTCCCTCATAGCAATGATGAAAAAGTCAAAATCAATTAATTGAGATTTTGGATAATTTGAAGATAAAAAAATGAAAGATGGCAAAGTGTGCCATACATAGGACTATCAGTTTATATTCAAATTTTTTTATTTCAACTAAACGAACATATAAGGTGCTCTTATCGTTTTTTGGTTTCGGTCCCAAACTCTTTGTGCTTATCGTTTTTTGTTTGGTAAAAAATGAAAAACTGGAAAAAAATCACGACCAATACACAAACACTCAATATTTAACTAGCTTGTTGTCTGGCCCGTTGGTCGGAATGTCATTGAATACAATGTATGTATGATGTGTATTTAAATTTTTTAAATTACATGAAATAATGAATTTCGTTTGACATTAAGGTGACATCGAAATTATTTTCTCATTTTCGAAATTCTGATAACTTTTCATCAATGATGAACATTGCAAGCTTAATTGTTATAACCAAAGTTGTCAAACCGGTTTAAGTTGTTGAGCCGGTTAAGCAAGTAGTTTGAAGTTTAATATTTTTATTGAGGTCAAACCTGTTTGAGCCATTTTACACTAGAAATTTAGTGACTGAAATGGAATATAATAACTTATATCTATTAAAAACTCAAATTCCATAAGAAAACATACTTATTTCAAGATCCACCCACCATCCTCTTGCCTCTCTCCCCCCTCACCCTACCCTCTATCTTCTTCTCCCTCTCTAACGATCAAACACTTGATTTTGTAGAGTCCGTTTTGGAACACGACTTTTGTCGGACCTAGTCTAACCAGTCTCCCGGTAAAGGTGCAATAACCTTGGTTATAACACTCATGAATAACCATTCATAACTTGTCTATTTAATGATGTAGTCATTTAGTTGCCTGTGACTGAAAAGAAAATTGACATAACAAAAAAAGAGTTTGTTTACAAAAGCATAACATAAATAGGAAATTCGTGACCATAACCTTTATTCAATATTTATTTCTTATGCTTGAGAAACAATACATATATAACGGTATCACCTTAAAGTATTCTGCACAATACAATAACAAAGTTAGTAAGAAAATAAAAATTTCATCCATACTCTCTATGCAATGAAAAAATTATTTATCAACCAACATACTCTAAATTTAGTTGAAGTACATCTTAATCACTGAACAAAAAAAAAATCTATCTTATGGAACCTATCTTGCTAATGCACATGACCACGTCAATGCGTCCATGAAAACTCCAATTCGACTTTCATGATTTGTCTTGTACTGCGGTTATTTCATATTAAACTAAGTAAATATGAATGATACTTATGGTCAGTTACCCTATAAAATAAAAGATTTAAATAATTGAAATCATCTAGAAAAATTGGTATTTAGAAATTGTGTTATTTTAAAATCATCCATTTGTTCAATCATGTCATATTATCAAGATAGTGAGATTTTAATAGTAAACCAAATTAAAATTTTCAAAAAGCGGGTCACTTACAGTTTGCATAACAATATCGTTGCTTAAATAGTTCTAAAAATTAATGCCAAGTTAAGAATTCTACATCACATCTACACATTCAATACTGCAATTCAATATGTAATATTTGAATCAATGATATTTGAGTTTCAATTTTAAAATTATCCTCCATTTATAAGATAGACATAAATTAAATTTATTATTAAACTCATATTAAAATAATCAAAATATAAAAAATTAAAATATCAATCACAAAGAAAGTACTTACGAGAAAGTTAGTCGGCGAGCTAATAGTAGTGGAAACGTCATATGATTTTTAGATTTCAGGTTTTCAAATTTTTTACTTAAAAAGATGCAAAAGATTTCTTTAGCGTAATTGGTAATGGTTGTTGTCTTAGTCTGGAAAGACCATGGTTCGAATCTAGAAATTAATGTATTTTTTTATGAATAAAAGACAAATAATGATTGTGTAGACACAATTGCCCTTCCTACTTTCGCTCTCGTTGCAGGAAATTTGAAATGGTGAAAAAATGCCCCCAACTCTGCTATAATGTATTTGTAGATCAAGTCTCGGGTTTCATTTTCTTGAAATCAAATTGATCCGCTTAAACTTCAGGTTTCATTTTCTTGAAATCAAATTGAACCGTTTTAGCCTCTTAACAGTTCATTATTAAGGAAATTATTTTGTTCGATTTTATTTCCGGTTCGATTCGGTTAAACAAAACAGTCTCCCCTAGTTATACATACAATATCTACCAAATAATAAATACTTTTTCTTTTAATAAATTTGAGTGTGTGAGGGATGGGTAAGATGTCAAGTTTTTTCATCCTCACTAAAAGACAAAAAAATGAAATAGTAATTTGGTATAGTAATTTGGTAATAAGGTAATAATAATTTCGTTTATTGAAGAAAATGGAATTATTGTGTCAAAGTGTACATGGGCGCTAGGCCGTGCTTGGGCCGGCACGGCACGGGCACGCTTCAGACCCATTTATTTCGTGTCGTGCCATGCAAGTCCATTTGTTAACTTTGCTAGGCCGGCCCGGACACGGTTCGAATCGTGTCATGCCTATTCGTGCTCGTGCCATGCTCGTATTTGTATTTAATGAAAATGAAGAAAACAAAGGAGAGAGTGAAAAAGAATGTGAAAATTGGACGGAGAAAGATAGTATTAACCGATAATGTTTGAGAAAAGTAACAAATAAGAGGGAAAAGAAAAATGAAAGTATAGCGAGTGTGATTTGGCTTTGTTTAATTCTTCATCCATTTTTACTTATGGTAGTAATTACGTATATATCTTTATGACACTTCTAACAGCAACAAATAATTCTTTTTCTACTTATATTTTGTAATATTTGAACCTATAATTCGTTTTATATTTATTTTCTATCAAATAAATATTATTTTCGTGCCATGTTCGTTCTTATACTCAATAAGTCTCGAAAATATTAGGCCCGACACCGCCCACTTGTATACTGTGCCGTGCCCGTGCTCGTGCTCGTGCCCATAAAGTTTAGGCTCGGCACGGCCCATAAATTATTCGTGCTCGTGTCGGGCTGGCCCATTTATTTCGTGCCCGTGCTGTGCTCTAATCGTGTCGTACCGTGCTAGCCCGTGGTCGACACGGCCCGGTGCCCACCTACATGTCCACGCATACACGATTCAACGTCCCTCTAACTAGCTCCTACAGGCTTCACGTTGGATGAAAAGACAACTTGGGAACATGAATGTTCCCAAAAGTTAACATCTAAAACCGTGGTCTCAGTGTTCTTCTGGCTTTGATTACCACTGCAAGGACACGAGCACCACATGAACACATTCAAAACTAGACCTTCTTGGTCAGTTTGTGACCACACCTCTTACCCTTTTCCAAGCCTTCACATGAACCCTAACCAATACTCTTTGCTTAGAGTGAATGATCCGAAAGTTTGGTATAATTTCATGACAGAACTCCCCATACTCTTTATTACTGAACTAAATCTGCTACATGTTCTGGTTTAAGAAGTAAGAACCCTATGTGATTCATAAAAGAGCTTTAATTTGTAATGCTAGCCTGCTACTAGGTGCTACAGTAAAGTCTGTACAAAGTGCAAAGTAAAAGCTGAAGTGATTTACCAACAATTATGAACCTGAGGATCGCTCTCGAGCATTGCAGCCAGAGTAGCCTAGTTTTTCAAACTAGTCATGGTGGATTGGATCGTCAACAGCATCGTGAACTGAGCTCAATCGAGGGGAGAACAGAACACAAACATGCAACTATATACTCCTCGATAATGACTACAGATATCACAACGGTCTGGTTACTTCGTCAAGCCCTTAACAAGCAGGCTCCGTTTATTTAAATCCCTTATACCCATTTCTTTAAACGCAAGTAATACATGATGAACAAGCTCTGGTTCTTACCAAGAGGCAACCTACATCCCCAAGTTTGATCCTTTCTTTCACGATCCCCTACGTGAATAGAAATAACAGCATCGTTCAAACTCGAGCCAACTGTTTGCAATTCGAACCCGTAAGTTCTATCAAGACATAAAGACATGAGATTTGCGGCCATCTAATAGAACATAATAGCTCCCCCAAAAGAGGGGGAAAGGTGTTGCACTAAAACGAATAAAAATCAACATATATAACCAACATGGATCCCTTCTTTCTTAAGCCAAACATCACAGCAGGGTAGAAACACAAAGGCAGGCAGCATCAAAACTTGCTAGCCATTGATTGATCCACTGATCTCCTACCTCCCTCTGCAAACTTCTTTCACAAGCAACTCCACCATCTCTGCAAAAACATCAGGGACTGGATAAATCAACCAAAGAACCTCATCATATGAAACCAGTTCTGACCAGTACTATTGTACTACTTAACTTCTAAGTTGGTGAGAAACTACAGATTCGACGGGACAGAGTTGGGAGTGTAGAAGGAGAACAGAAAATCGCAAGATTTCATGGATCATGTTAACTTTTCATATTGCCATGCTGCATATCTTAAAATCAATCTGCTAAAATCGGTGAATATAGAATACTCGACGTTTGAAAAGCAAAATCCCTCTCCTCAAAGTTGCAACAACCACAAGAATGTTCCACTTCAATCGATGTCAAAAGTCGAATTCTTAATTCTACTATCGACTAAAACAATTTTTTTCATTTGTAAATATTCAGCATTCACCCTTCCATTCATACCCTGTTGAAACCTTTGGATTCTACATGGAGTAAGCGAAAGATTCTATAACAGACCGCAACCGTAATTGATTGAGTATACTCTTCAAAGCGTAAACTTGTAAAGTTTACTCGGAAATTTTGATATACACTGCTTACCTTCAGAGATTTGAGGAAACGGCGGAGCCTGCCTCTCCTCCTTGTTTTGATTTGATCAGCCAGCTTGAAGGACATATTCCTAACACAAAACCCAGTGTTCTTCTCTTTCCTAACGATGTCGAATATGGCACTGTAACCGTCTGCTGATGATGGGTCGCTTTCGTCCCAGTCCCCAAACCTTGGCAACGAGCCACCATCATTACTCCCATTGTTGTTCTTCTTCCTATTCCTCTTGTTCCTCTTCTTCTCCTTCTTCTTTTTCCACTTCTTCTCCTGCTTCAGTCTCTCCCTCTCCTGCTTCCTCCTCTCTTTATCTCCCTTCTCAAACTTTCCCATCATAACACATAACAGAAAGAAACAGAAAACATATTCATGAAAAGCTTTAGTCAGAAAGAAAACACAATTGCGAGTTGAATATGGAACTGGTAACTGAAGTTGCAGTAGAGTTTTTACCTCAAACATAGTGCAGGCTGCAGCAAACTGTCACAAACATCTAAAGGAGAAAGAACAGCTAGTTATACCAAATTGGAGGAAGGAACAAATTACTCCGCTTTCATATCAGCCAAGAACCTGCATATAATGTAGAGATCTAGTGTTTTGGCATATATACATGTGTAAGATTTAAGAAATGGAACTTCATATACAGCCTGGATCCAGTTCAGGTAGATGCTAATTAAGCTCGAGAATCATTTTGAGAAGGCGTCCGGCTTAATTGATTCATGAGATCATCCCCATTGGCATGAGGGCAAGTACAAGGAGACAAGAACAATCCCCCTTTAGCCCTAGAAGTTATCAACAGCTTTACATTGCAGAACACGGTGAGTCTGAACAAGACGACATTGTCATCAAGCAGCAACAAGACTGTGCATTTCCTGGGAGAGGGGGATAGCTTCAGTGTATAGTTTAGCTCCGACACTCCCTGTCTTTAGCAGGAACAGCACTTGGGAATCTCAGAAGCAGAAAAGTTTTTCCTTTTTTTAATGATTTGAGTTGTAATGGAAATACCAACAAGGAAAGATATTTTGACCGGTCTGGAGAGCTCGAACGGTTTCTTACTACTCTTTCACGCTTACTATGCCTCCTCTTTTGGATTGTTGTTTTGTCAAACTAGTTTCTCCCTTAACATTCAATAAAAGATCTTTGTAATACACCTTGTTCATTTTTCAGTAACCACCAAAAAGGAGCATAAGAACCTCCAATCTGCTGTTTGTATTGTTATATTCAAAAACAAGGTTTCATTCAAGGAGGAAGCTCCTTCATTAAAAAAAATGAATGAGAGATCTTATAGTTATAATTACGAGGGAAAAGTCTGGCTAACCAAGTTATAGACTAATTCAATGCCTTCCAAGATTGGCTGCTGCAGCTCGATGAGATCCCTCCAATGAGATTGTTCAAAGCATGGGAAACCATTGGGACGACAATGCTTGAGGATGTTGTCGTGGTGTAGCCACAGATGCAGGCAACGAAGTTCTCCCTGCAGAAAGGGGGAATTGACAAGAATCATTAACATAAAGGTGGACACAGAAAGAACTGGCCAGAAGCAAATTCAAGCAGTTGGCTGTTCATTCAAACAAGGCAGCAACAGCAAGAACACTCTCCAAGTCCATTCCAAAGAGCTGCTGCAGGGCTCCAGAGCCCCTGTAGAGGGAGAGGCTTCCAAATTCACCAACAATGTTAACGAGAAGGCATTGCTTCAATGTAATTGGAACCTTTACCTCGCTAACTCCGGGCAGAAGGGCAAACGGTACGTAATCTAGACGCTCGAGAGATGTGAGAACCTGCAAAATATCAGCAGATCAATGTATGCTATTTCCTCCCTGAAACCATCCACTGAGATCTGAGAATCAATCAATAGGGTTCCTTCCTTCCTAACCTGCTCGTCTTGCTGCTTCAGAGGACTCTGAAGTCCGGCCATGTCTTCAGTAGCAAGAATCTAGATGAGCATATTACTAGAACCAGTCCAAGAATTAGCTTCCCGCCGGCAAAAATGGCTGGGAGAAGTGCGAATATCTCATACTTTCTTCTTCCCTGTTTCTGGCTTATCGTTATCAGTTCCGGGTTCACGGCACGTGGCTGGCCACCCATGGCCTCTCAGTTTTGAGAGTTTAAGATAGTTCAATGGTTAAACAGATGAATCAAGAGTTGATACATACAACTTCCACATTTAACAAATTTCTGTAACTGGGAAATTATGAACACCTGTGGTCTAAACAGTTAATACAAATGGTTTACAAATTTCCCTTCTCTACAAAGCAAGCAAAAACACAAGGGCTTGACCTTTCCCCCCTTTTATTTGTTGTTCTTTCATCTCTGCAGGGATCCTAAAACATGACTTGCAGAGAACAAATGAGGGAACTCTAGACAATATATGAACAAGAGGTAGGTAATGGAAACACAATGAACGAATCAGATGGAAATTTCCCTTCTTAACTATGATACAGAAAAGCTTCCAACTTCCATCAGAGTGATTTTCGTCCTTCCCTTCAGATCCTTGCTTATTTGCTGTTTGTGTTACACAATGGTTGCCAATACCCATACGTGCAACAGAAGCCAATAGGCTATCAGGCCAAGCCTTGCCCTTGGACGACTCATTAGATTCCTACCACCAGATACCCTGCAACATTGTTTGCAGTCACTAAATATGCATGCCCAAGTTTTCACACATCACTCGCAGCGACTCAAGGTTTTGGTTTAGGGGCACTTTACCAGATTCCGTCAACTCGATCTGCTAGAGACTTCCCTTGCTTTGGGATTAGGCCTGATGTGTTGAGAGACTTGAACAAATGACCTGGAACGTGAAAAAACAAGTTAATGTTCTTCATTTCCTTTTACGATTCTCAGGGAATTAAAACAGAAGATTATCATAATGAGAACCTTTGTCCTCATCGGTTTCTTCCTTGTTGATAAGAGTGGCCGATTCTGAGTCAATGCTGATTGCTAGATGGTCAGTTGATCCTTTTCTTGTTGTTCTCACGTGGGCAGCCTTTGGTACGGGAGGCGAAGGATTCTTCCCAACCGAGCTCTGCAAGAAACCATAATGGCATTCAGAATAACTGCAAGATACAGCAGTGCCAGTGATGAGTGATCAGCTAGCTAACACACAATGATGTAGGAAACTTACTGCATCGTCAACTTCGGATATCTCTGACCCACTTGGCCGAGATGAACCTTCAAACATGATACTCCTCTCCTGGAAAATCTCAGGCTGTGCACTTCTACTTTGAACGGAATCTTCGAGCATTTTGAGCCTAGTCGATAATTCATCAACAACCTTCTGGCTCTCGAGCAACCTGTTGCCAAGCTCAAGAGCATGGGACTTTGAATTCTCAGCTTCGGAGAGTAGTCCATTGGCCTGTTTTTCCAGTTGCTGCAGAAGTCTCCCTGGACAAACAGGGTTTGGATCTGCTGCTGCAACAACTTCATTACCTCCTAATGCATTAATTACTCGCTCCAAGCCAGCTGTCATCTCTGAAATCTCACCCTTCATCACTTCCACATCTTCATGATTTCTGGAATGAGCTCGAACATCTTCCTTCAGAAGTTCAACTTCCAGAATCTGTTGAGATAGACTTGTCTGTAGCTGATCTTTTTCCGAAGCTAATACATTTATTTCATTATATAATCGTGACACGCTATCGACTATGTAGAATAGTTTATTTACATCAACTGAACTATGCGATGATCCAACTGCTCCACCTACTTCTAACTCTGAATTAAGAATTTCGATACTACTGATTTTGTCAAAAAGAGTTTGCAGCTCTGATGTTGAAATAAGAGGGTCTTCAGCTTTTCCTGAAACGAGAATGATTAACGGACTGGTTAGCAAAATTCTGCACTTGGTAAAGCAACAAAATGTTTTAAAATGGTTTAAATAGCAAATTTCTAAGAGATACATCCGTATGCGGTACATTTTAACAAATAAGTCATTACACTATGTCGCTTATCTCGACCCATGCTTAGCAAACACGTCATTGAAGAATCAACATACCATGTATGCTGGAAATCTATTTTTCGCCCCCTCAACTAGATCCTGTCAGTTAGTCTAAGCCCCATGAAATGTGTGGTTTCAAAGTCGAATTAAATGAAAAAAACATGATTTTTTTACATGTGGGCATGAGTCATTTAGAGGATGCTGTGAAAATTGTAACTCCATTAAGGGGTCGTTTGGAGAATATATGATTTTAAATCTACAGATTGTCAACAATCTAAACATTCTAACTCTTTTAATTGTTGAAAACAATTTTTAAAATGTTTATTTTTTGGTAACTGTGATTGTTAACATTCAATTAAAATAAAAAATTTAATTTTATATTAAATAACAAGTTTATCCTTAACAAAAAAAAAAATAGAGTGGTTCGAGAAATATTAAAAACTTAATTGATAAATAGATTTCATGGGATAAATAACACATAAAGCTATATTATAGCGATGTGCTTGATAAAACTAATAGTGGAGGTATGTGTTTGCTAGGTTTACCTTGCTCTTTCGTAGATATATTGATTTGCAAAGTGGAAAGCTTCGCTTCATTTTCCTTCAACTTCTCCTCCAAGTTATTGTAATCCCCTAGTTCACTCTCCAACTTGGCAACCCTACTCTGAAGTAGATCCCTTTCTCGTACAATGCTTTCGTGGTCCACAAGTTTCGAGCTCAGCTGCTGGCATGCTTTTTGTGAAGCTTCTACTTCGGCTTGTAGCTCCATAGACCTACTTTCAAGTAATTCCCTTTCATTTAATATGCTTTCGTAGTCTCCTAGCCTGGCTTTCAACTGCTGGCACAAATTTTCTTTTCCTTCTACATCATCCTCCAACTCTGCAACTCTACTCTGAAGTAGGTCCTTTTCTCTTACAATGTTAATATGATCTCCTAGTTCGGACCCCAGTTGCTGACACGAATTCTGCAATCCTTCTACTTCACTCTCCAATTCCACAACCCTGCTTTGGAAAAAATCCCTCTCTCTTAGGATGCTTTCAGAAGTTCCTGCATTAGCTGTCACTTTGTTCTCCAAATCTTCAATCACAGAAGCCGCCACTGTACTCGTACTTTCAAATACTTTCATATGGTTTCGAACCTTTCTTGCAGCCAATAACAAATTTTGAGCCTCAACAATTGGTTCAGTTTGTCCTGCATCATATGACTCTTCATTAACAGATTGAATCAAATGGTTCAGCTTTTCAAGCTCAGGAACAGACTTCAGGTCCAGCAGACTGTTCACTAATTCAAGCTGCAGTTCTCTTGTAGCATTGATGCATGCAGAGAGCAAAACTTCACGCTCTTTTTCTAGAGATGTCAAGGCTCCATCTTGTTCTTCTTTTTGAATTTCCAAATCCATCATCTTCTGTTTCATGGACTCCATTCGCTCAAAGGTGACAGTTACAACATCCTTTGTTGACCTTAATTTGCTTACTAAAGATTCAACAAACTGGTCTATGAAGCTCGATAATCCTTCGAAATTCTCAGCAACGATTTTGTTCCGCAGCTGTAACCCGTCGCTGCACTTCTTAAAGTACAATGAAACATTGTCCAAATCAGCTGAATCCACGTCCCCATTTTCCATCTCAGCACTTAGAGTAGTACTACCAATGTCATATGGGAAAGCTATATTTGAGTGTGAATCATCCTGCAAGGTTGTAAACAGAGCATTAAAAAACAGTCATTGAAACAGCAGGAGAGAAAAGGATTGCGACAGTTTGTTTCCGCTTAAAAAAATGGTCAATTGAAAGCTGATACAGACACTTCTACAACCTAACTTCTCAAAATTACTTAAATTATAGAATCGAAATGCAACTCACTAAAAAAAGGTCATTTTAATGTTATAACAATTCGAGAATCCACTCAAAAGTCAAAACTATCCACCATCCTACAAATTCTAGAAAAATATCTCAGATTTTCATCAATCCGGGTTTCTATAGAACTTTTCCAAGCATACTTCCTTTTCAGTCCTGCTAAATCTAAAACTTGCAGAAAATCAGTCACTCTGTTTCTAGCAAAAAGCTAAAACAAACACTCCTGTCAGTCATTACCATTATGGGATGGATATGCAGCATTTGTGAATCTACTTTAGCACAAAATCTGTTCATGTCCTTGAGCATGAGATCCATATTGTTGAGGTTTTGAAATTGCTTCTCGAAACGATCTCTAATCACAGACAACAGTTCATCATTCCTCGTAAGCATCTGAAGATCTGTGAGATGGCGGACTAGCTCCACAGACTTGCTAGCCAAGCTGCCACTGGTTCCAGATAACTCATCCATGCAAGCATTCAACTTGGAATTCAATGTCGATACCTCCTGTTCAGCAATCCTCTTGTCATCTTTAAGTGAAGCAATGTCAAGTGTAGCCTTCGACAAAGCATCCTCCAATGATTTGATAGTTAAGGAGGAATCATCCAGCTTTCCAGCAGTTTCATCTTTCATTTTCCTTAATTCATTCTCCAAATCGACTCTTCCAGCCTGGAAACTGTTGTTTTCTTCAGTGAGCAAAGCCATCTTGGTTTCTGCTTCAGAGAGAGTGTCTTCTAGAGACTTCAAAGATTTGTATGCATCAGTCAGTTTGCCAGCCTGAATATCCACTTCTTCTTTCACCTTTTCGAACTCGGTTTCAACCGCAGCCTTGCTAATTAGAGCCTCCTCTCTTTCTTTAACAAGTACAGCAATGTTATTCTCTGCCAAAGACAATGCATCTTCAAGAGATATTTTAGCTGCACTAGCTTCAGTGAACTCGCTTGTCCGGGATTTAACTTCTTCTAATGCCTTTTGCCAGTCTAGTTCCACATTCTTCTTTTCTG